CCAGTTTCCACATGTAGAGTATATGGCCAGTCATAAATGCCGTATTACATAGGTCCAGTAATTTCTTTTTACTAGACTTAGGCATAGCACTGATCATTTGGTATGAGATGCGGTCTAGACCAGGTGTCTTCCCCTTCAAATTGGAGAGACAACTTCCAAGTTCTGAGGTGGATACGCAATTTTCCAGGAACATGGCACATCTGTCGATATTATTTGAAGATATTGGAGTCCTTTTATTTTCAATGAAAGCACTGGAGAAGTTGCTGTCAGAGGAGTATTCGCACCACACTTTTCCAAAGTAATTAGAAATCTCATCTGCGTCAGTTAAAGTTCCATTGGGAGTGCAGATGGCAGAAATTTCGTTCAGGTTTGAAGTCCCATTAAGTCTGTTGATTTTGTTCCAGACAACTTTCATTGATGTATTTCTGTGAATTCGTCCCGAAAAAAGTTCGAAACTAAGTGCTTTTGATTTTCGCAGTTCCTTCCTTAATAGAGCATTGGCCTTTTTGTATAATAACAAGTGATTCTGATCAGGACGTCTCTTAAAGCGGTGCCATAGATCCATTTTATTTTTCCTCAAAAACGAAAGCGTGTTGTTCCACCATGGAACCCTAGCTCGTTTAAAAGAGGTGTTGGATTGAGGAATAGAAAGATGAGCAGCCGTGCGAATCGCTTTAGACATAATAGCAGCATCATGGTTGCAGTTTCCGTTAAATGGCTTTGAGTTCAAAAATGACTCCACCTGCTTGGAGTAATTGATCCAATCCGCTTTATCTAGGAGGAATTTGGCCTGTTTTGCTGGAGTAACAGAGGACGTTGAAAGTTTAAGATCGATTATGATCGAAAAGTGATCACTATTATGTAGATAATCAGAAATAGACCAGGACACCAAAGGAAGAAGTGATGGAGAGCAACATGTTAAATCAATATGTGAAAAAGTATGATGAGTTGAGAAGTGCGTTGGTTTTCCAAAGGTTGCTTTGAAAAAAGGCCTTTTCTAAAACAGTACCGCGACTGTTGTTTACTGTTGAACCCCAAATGGTATTCCTACTATTAAAGTCGCCGCATATTATTAATGGGGGGGAGAATACGACGAATAAATTGCAGAGTTCTTGCTGAGAAAACGATTGCGAAGGTGGGATATAGAGCGAAAGCACTATAAATTTTATGTTTAACATTATTTGTATCGCTACGGCTTGTATATTTGAGCTAAAATTTATGCGTTTGTGAGGTATATTTGATTTTATAAAAACACCAACTCCTTGTTTGGAATATGAATTTTGATCAGCATTCGTGAAGTATCCAGTATATGATTTGGGTGGAATAGGATTAAAAGAGCTTCTACAATGGGTTTCTTGAAGGGATAAAAAGGTTGGATTAAAATCACTTATGAGTGTACGGAGTTCATCAAAATTATTAATAAGTCCCTTAATGTCCCATTGTAGAATTTTAGAAACCTTATTTAATTGTAATGACATGGAAGCAGAGTGGAATTAAGGTCAAGTTGACATGTCAGCGTCCCCGTCGAGAAGGTCGCTATAGGAATTTTTCGTGAATGATTTATTCTTACCAGCTGAATAATCTGTACTTAGGTGGTTTGGTACATTTGAAGCGCAACGAGTGGGCGCACGTGAATAATTTGAAGTTGAAGATTGATTAATGGATGAAAGAATGGATTCATTACCATTTGTAATTTGTTGAGTAAAGGTGATAGCTGGAGATTCTGGAGAATTTAGTATATTAAATTTTAGCATATATGTTGTTGTTTTAATTTTTTCAATATTTGGTGTTGCTTTGGTTTTTTCAATATTATCTTTGGCGGGTGATGTAACTGGTTTCGCAATGTAATTTTTGCTTGATGGTAGAACAGGTCTTTCATTGGAAGGAGTTGGAACTAAAGGCTTATAAGTCTTGATTTGCGAGGTGACAGCAGCGTCGGTATTACTTTTGTCAATTCTTTGGGTTCCAGATGGATTAATATCCCGGTACTTGCGTCGCGCTTCCTCCATGCTAGAATAATTTTCTAATTTGATTTTTAGAATTTCACGCATTTGTATAAAACGTGGGCATTGTTTGTCTAACGCAGAGTGTTGATCGCTGCAATTTAAGCAGAAGCTACGCGTAGTTTTCAGGATGTGGAGGAAGACCACAGTTAGCACAGGATGAAGGACTGGTGCATCTTTTTGCCGTATGGCCCAGGCGTTCGCAGTTTTTACACCTCATGGGATTTGGAATGTAGAGTTCTACTTTACATTTGTACCAAGCTACATCAACTGTTGCCGGTAGCCTATAGCGGTCAAAATTCAAAATAATTCTTCCTGTAGGAGAGCGGGTTTTTTCATCGTCATTTAATTTGGTGAATTTGTAGACTTCAGTCACTCCTTGAATGCCCATTTCACGCACAATTTCATCTTCCGGCACATGCTTTAATCATGGGGCATAAACTACGCCTTTAACCGAGTTCAGTTTGTCATGCAGTTTAGCGGATATAGCGCACAAATTGGCTAATGATTTAGACGTTATGAGCTTTTCGGTTGCGCTCGGTTTCCCAGCCAGGGCAAGTAAATTTCCATCGCGTAAAATCGATGTAGAGTCTATAAGCGTTGTATTGCATTCTAGTGCTTTTTTATAGCGAGAGGGCTAATTTGCGAAATTGTTATGGAGGGATCAGTTGGAGAAATCACAACATATTTTTTGTCGATAGGAACGATGCTGCTGGTTGACAACACCGGAACTTCGGAATTTTTAATTTTTTTTCTTTGAGGGGATACGTCTGCTAATAGATGAAATCTATTTGAGTTTTTATCAGGCGGCCCCGGGGCCATTATGCCTTATGGTTGTCTATTATTTAATTATTTGTGAAATAACCACTCACTTGAAAAGGTTTGGGAAACTACTGAGGATAATGTCAACTGTGTGTTTTCAACTTTTCTTTTTTTTTTTGGATTTAATGGAAACACGTACGGTATCCGCGATGATCACTTTTAGCAATAAACACACAAAAAGTTCAATATATTTTAATAAATTTGAACGCTTTTAAAAATGTATAAAACAGAGAAGAAGAAATTGCAAAATTTTTTTGCACAAAGAGAAAAATATGACCATAGCGCTTGTGGTCTAAAATCTAGAACGTAAGTTTTTTAAGTCGAATGAAATTAGTCAACAACGTATTAGTTTGAGATAGCGAGTATGAGAGACTCCCAAAAAGGCGTAAATTATTTGTATGTTTTAAATTTGAAAAGGCTTTGTCAGACATCCAAAAAAGTTCTTCCTGGGTGTTTATGAGAGCTTCTGCTAATAAAATTTCAACAACATAATTCGACATTTAAAAGATTTTCAATTTTATAATTCAGAACCAGACACGATTGTAACATGAGCAAAAGAGCGTACGCAAAAATGTAGATGTATTGGTCTCTGACACGTATTTAACATTCTTACGAACGGAATAGCAAATCTACCTTATAAAAACATGCTGTAAACAATATTGATGTTTCGTGACCCTTAGTATTAAATATTTTTCTTTTCTTTGCTCTCTTGAGATTTAATTATGTACCGCCCCTTAATCAAGCATTTGAAGTAGGTTATGGTTTGGTATGCTCTTCTATTTAGTGCTAAGATATATATATATATAAGCTAAGGAATTTCTAATTTTCTATCATCATTATATGATGTTAAACTAACATTGTATGAGTGGCTATGTGTGCTTAAATTTTAGCAACGAGTTCCTTGTTAAATGAGAAATTATAAATTCCATACAATTGACTTCTGACAACGCAATTTATTGATTGAAATGCTATCTTACCATTCAATGAATTTCTGACATTCCGAGCGTTCTGTCACTTGCCTTTGCCTTTTCATGTAATTGCATGTGCTGCACGAGGGTTCATTTGCTTAGTGGTCATGTTATTGTTCCTAATGATTTATCTAAAGGCGTACAAACACGTAAACGTGTCAACACTCAAGTGGAACAGTACTAAAACTCGAACTCAATTTCATTAACAGTTAATCCCATAATAAACAGCAAGTTCGCTGAGTTTGTGTATATGTAAACATATATTGCTTCCAAATTGGCACTAAAAGTACATTGATTGTGTTTAATTTGTTGCAAAAAATATTAAAAAAAAAAAAAAATGTATGGCATACACTTTCTTTGGCTACGCTACAATTAACACATAAAAGATGTTGCTTTATTTTTGACAAACTTAGGCGGGAACTTTTCAAGTGAACAACAATTATTTTTATTGGAAAACATACAACAAAACAACGAACTCTTGCACTTGTCTCGAATATATTGCAAGAAACAAATTTCTACGACCAGGGCAGTTGATTAATTTGCCGATACGTTTTCTGTTCAGGGCATGTCAAATGATAATGATGTCTATCTCTACCGTGCTGTTATTATTCTCTCATTAGCGACGAGGCTTTAGCGGCACGCATTGATTAAATTACTAGAGATTACTCTCTGTAGAGCAATCACTTTACTTGCTCTTTTCACTACCAAAACTAGCTATTAGAACCTACACAGAACACTATTACACTTAAACTACGGAGGAAATTAAGACACAAAGTTACTTCTTCCTTTATTCCTGACATAACCGATAATTTTGTCACGCTAGTAAGCTGATCAATTACATAAACACAATGAACCATGTTCTCCTCACGATTTGGTCTGCTACGTCATCTAGTACAAAAAAGACCCTCCAATCGTGCCAATGAAAAAAAAATACTATAATAATACAATAAAATAATACTTCAACTTTCTCATTTCATTTTTACTTTCTGCATTGGGATTTGAAAATCAAAAAAATTTCAGTTAAATTTGGAAGTTCCAGGACTGTAATTCTTCAGTAATTCCACGCGATCGAGGTAACAAAGGTACATTTATGCCTGCTCCGCAGCAAGCCTCTCCTCATGAAAAAGCTATGGAAAATAAAACACATATTTTAATTAATTGTTTAACATTTGCACGAATTAATTGTGGCAACATTTTATTTTTTCAGATGCACTCAGATACAAAAACAAAATATTGATACACTATACTATTGCAAACACGTGGTCAATTTTTGCAGACGTACTACAGCATCGTCTATACAATAATCTGTCAAATTTTTGCCAGTATATCTGCTGTAGTTTGAGTAACGAGGAATGCAATGCAAATGCAATGAGGCTTATAACTGAAATATTAGTACATCTAAAATAGAAACGAAAAATACAAAAAAATAATCTTCACAGTTTATGGAATATCAAAGGTGATAACTAAATATTGTTAAAAGGAACTGAAACGAACAGATGCTAGCCAAAATTTGATACCAAACTTATCCAGCACATTTGGGATATATTATATAAATATAAATCCGCCTGAGTAGCCGAAGGCGAGGAATCTCGACTAGCAAGTCAATGGTCGTGGGTTCGAATCTCAAGTGCGGTAGAGTTTTTAATATAAAAGCCGATAGGCTTTAGATGCTAGTGCTTTTAAAAGTTTAGTCTTAGAATTTATTTCTCTGGCGAAATTAATAATAATATTAATAATAATATATAAATATAGTCTCCCTTCACTATTTTTCACATAAACACCACGCTGGTAACAATTCGACGAAGTTCTCCCAATCTTTAGCAAAAAGAGCGGATTTACCGGTCTTGAAGAGCTTTACCGCTAAGTGAATATATCCGATCAGCTTATTTGTAAATAGAGATAGGTTAAGATGCCAACATTTTACATCAATTATAGCTAAACACAAGATTGTTAAAATGTGAGGATAATTGAGAAAACAAAAATGTAAAACAGATGTTTTATATTTAATTAAAAATCTTTGGGCTATGCGAAATGGGATGCAAAAGAACGACATACCTTTTTTGTTTTATTGAGAAAACAGAATGAAGTTATGAAAAAACAGAAATGATTTTAAAACAAATACAATATTTATATATAGTTACTGAATAAAAAAGCTTTCTCATAAAGAACAGTAGAACGTATACCGACCACATGGCCAGGCGGACACTGTGAATCAATGAAAGCATGAATATAATTTCTTTTCCTAAATATATTAACGGAAAAAATATGCATTTCAATTTTTTATTTTGTTTATTGTTATATTATTGAAAGTTCCACAATTTTATACGAATTTTCCGTAAGGTTTCCATATTTTGAACGTTAAATGAAAAAGTTTTCAAAATTCCGGGCAATTGTTAGGAAAGAAATATGAAAATAGAACTCTGATGGAATAAATTGTTATAGGTGATGATTACTTTAGCTAAACGAGAGTGAGTACTTTTGTGTTTAAATATCATATATTTTTTTAAACAAACTCAAATCGGAAATACTTTTTCCCCTATTTTCGAATATTTTTTATATTAGTGGAGCTTGTTCTTTTATATATTAAAAAGTAATAAAACATTATCAATTTAAAACAGATGTCTGTATAACACCATTGATTAAATAACGAAATTAAGCACATATCATCAATCACTTCATGCAAAAGTGCATTATAAAATTTAAAAAATACAATTTTCATTTGTCGCATATATTAATTGTCAACAAAATTTACATTTTACTAAACGTCAAATGAATAAAATTTACACTTTGATGATCTGTAATACTAAAATTATAATTTTTAGAGGTTTAATGCAACTCTAAATATTCTCAGAAATTTTTGTTATTTATGGATAGCGGCAACTCTGTCAAGCTTTTCGAAAGCTAAAAACAAATTCGTATAAAATTCTATTTCTCATAGCTGTACACTTTGTACATTTTTTATGAAAAGCCCTAAGTGCCTTTTTGCTAAGAGTAAAATTGTATTTCTCTGAGCACAATTTACTTTGCTGCACATTTCTTCTGCAAGCCCAAATTTTATTGAGACGAAAATTTTATTCTGACAGTAAAATTGGCTTATGTAAAAATTGAAAAAAAATTGTGAATTTTTGCAATAAAGATCGTACTGTGTGTATTTTGTTGTTGTATTGTTTTTGAATTGCATATACAAAACAAAAAAAAGTTGCCTTAGGAAATAATACAAATTGAAGTTAATAGTTTTAAAAAATTATTAAAGATTATGTAATCCCTACAACTCGTATAAGTAGTAATCCCATTACACTTTTTTAATTTTTTTTAAATATCCTTCATTTCTTATCTCCTAAATAATTTAAAGGAAAAAAAATGTACATAAAAACTAATCGAAAGCTAATATAATCCTAATTAATATTATTAAAGATACAAATATAAGAAATAATATAATAAAACAATTAATTTTCCAATCTAATATTATATATTCTTTCCTCTAATAAAGTGCTAAAGCAAAAATTTTCAATACAAAATAACTTATTGCTATGCAGACTGTCGGTTTTGCCTTGACGTAATGATGTAATATTTGCATAATTTTTTATATGTACTGAATGTAGCCATTACTTACAATTGTATTATCTCCTATTTTGTTTCCGTCTTTCGGAAACTGATTTGGATTTCTGATATATTTAGGCTATTATAATGCAAGCTTCTTCTTATGCATTTTGATGTTGATGAGATATTGTCGTCCATCTCATCCATCATTCCATATATACTTAGGTGAAGGGTTGGGACAGTCTCTGTGGCCAACGCCGCTTTAAATCAAATATTATCGGGATTCTTTGTATCCTGATAAAAATGCTTATCCCATTTATAATAAGAATTTTTATCATTTGGGACATTTAATATGGTAAGCCAATTTTGTAATTTGCTTGCAGGGATTTGAAACGCACATCTGTTTTCAACTGATTTACCCTTTTAATATTTGCATATTATGCACGTTTTTCCACCCACCATTATGAATATTATAATACTAAAGCTATATAAAAATTATAGAAATTTT